AATAGGATTCTATCAAAATATGAAAAAAAACGCGAAAAAGGAAATTTCTGGCAGATTTTAACCCTATGTAGCAGCATAGGGTTAACCTATGCGGTCGCATAGGCCTTCAGTTTGAAGGCCTATTGGCCCCTACATGGCACCATGCGACCGCATGGTGTATTGTACTATGCGGTTGCATGGTGCAAAATTTCACCCTTGTCTTCGACTGCCTGTATTGAAGTCTTCCAACTCGATTCCGATCTCGACCCTAACACGGAACTTGCTTCATTCTTCATTACGATCGCCATATCGTCCACCGTAGCTTGAACAAACAATGTCATCGCCTCTTTTTCTCGCCTTGCTCTCTCTCGAGACATCGGTCCTGCTTCAATGATCAATGGATCTTTCTTCAGGCTCGTATTCGTTGCAACGACATCTTGGATCACATCAGAAGTCTTGTTAGCTTATTGATTTGACTTTGGGTCTCCTATTAGCCATTAGGAGTGAAAGTTGAAATAAAAAAAGAAGTTACAAAATTTATAATTCTCATGATAGCTCGACCCAAAAATATAATAAATGGGTACGAATTCACACTCACCACTTTTATATTGTATCTACACTTTTAAGTTCCTATTTGGACTTCATTATTTTCGAAATACATTTTTTTAAAACTTATTTTCAATCACACATTTTTTATAAAATAATATTATACGAAAATTCAAAATTTATGCAATTATAATTTAGAAGAAGGATGTTATATTCACAAAACATTTTTTTAATAAATAAACCATATTTTAATTATATTGAAGATCATTAACCTTATTCATTATCAGACTTATATCCTTAACTTTTCTTACTTGTATTTTTATTTTTTAACATTTTATTAATCAGGAAATTTATCCTTAAATCATAGTTTTTGCTCAAAAATATTGTGACATGCTTTAAAACGAAGGTCAAATGTTTAACGATCATGCTACTTGTACAAAGTGGCTTGACAAACTAGGTTTACAAAGTGATGTGGCAGGAATT